CTGGCCCATGGGCCAGACCTGTCCACAGATGTGGAAAGTTGCAAACACCGGTTTCCACTTCAGTGGTTGCTGCGGACCCACACAGAACTCTGCCTCGGTCAGGTGCAACTCCCTGGAACCCCAGACTCGGGGGCCCGGGGCCTCAGAGCCAGGCTGTGAAGCTCCAAGGGGTGCCCAGGGTCCCATTCTACTGGGGAAAAGCGAGAAATGCTGGTTGGGACGCAGAGCTACTGTGTCTGCCTCCACGCTGGCCAGCGGCCCCCATGCAGTCCATGCACCCCGGCCACTCCGCTGCCCCCCCCCCGTCAAAGCCAAAGGTCCAGGGTCGCAGAGCTCTGGGCTACTGCAGGGGTGGCCGCCCTGCCCGGCCCGAAGCCCAGGGCTGGGTGAGGGCGCAGAGTGGGACAGCTAGGGGGCAGCACTGCACTGGACTTCTCCAGGCTGCCCGCGTCCCTGGTCTCCCCTCGCTGGGGACGAACAGCACAGAAAACAGAGGGGGGTGGGGATGACAAATCAAGAAGCGAGTCCCTGTGCGTCCTCCCACAGCGGACAGGAGACCAAGGCAGGGACAGCCACTGGGCAGCTCTCAGCGCTTCCTCCCGAGAACACCACGGCGAGCTAAGCATGGCCCAGGGTCCAGCCTCCCACAGAGCCACGGGGACAAAGCCCAGAAGGTTCCAGGCCTCATCGCTGACACTAACACGGTGACCCGGTGGGAACAGCAGCTAGTCAGCAGGGCCAGGAGACAAACAGCTGCTTGCCCTCAAGGTGACAACGACCTGAGCACCACACAGCAGGGCACTCAGGGATGAACTCTGCCCCAGCCTCGACAGTGTTCCGGGATGAACTATGCCCCAGCACAGCCCAGACGGCCTCAGGGACAGCAGGGGACGGCCTGAAAGACAGGCTGGCAGTCCAAAAGGAGTCCCCGAACTCACTGTGGGACTCTTCCCTGGAATCCAGATTGGCAAACTCTTCCTGGTGGGCTGACGGTGGAGCTTGTGGTCACCCGCACACTCTCGAGGACGGGGGCATCGGTGAGGGGAACGAGAGCGCACCCAGATTCTGCACGCGGAGGACACTGCAACACCCGCGGAGCCGTGCAGTTGGCATGAGCACATAACCCACGGACACTCGGAGACCCAGGCAAGACTCTCCGATGAGGGGCTGGAGCGATAGCACAGCGAGTAGGGCGTTTGCCTTGCACGCAGCCAACATGACCAACACAGGTTCGATTCCCAGCATCCCATATGGTCCCCCGAGCACCGCCAGGAGCAATTCCTGAGTGCATGAGCCAGGAGTAACCCCTGAGCATCGTCGGGTGTGACCCAAAAAGGAAAAAAAAAAAGAGTAAAAAAAAAAAGACTCTCAGATGAGAATTGAAGAATTCCATTCAGATGAATTCAGAAGAATTCTCAATTCAGATGAGAATTGAAGAATTCCATTGTCCAGCTGATATACTTCTTACAGACATCAGATGCAATTAGAATTGCGGGGGGGTGGGGGGGCTGGAGAGACTCAAGTGGGGACAGCAGGGCACCAGCCAGGAGTCCCCTCCGGTCCCCTGAGCCCCTCCAGGAGTGACTCCTGAGTGCAGGATCCAGAGTAGCACTTGAGCATTGCCGGCCCCCAAGAACACACAAACAGAAAGTCGAGGTAAAGTGAGCTCCTCCACTACCTCCATCTGTTTCCAACAAGGACAAAGAGAAGCCATACACTCGAGGTGATGGCATGTCCAACATAGCCAGAGCACAGGGAATGAATGTGAATTGAGAATCTTAGACCCTAGAATTTCCAGCCCAAGTGTTGGGGTTTGGGCAGAAAACCTTCCTTTCTGTTACAGTTGCTTCAGAGGTATCAGTTAACTAAGACAAGACATTCTACAGTGTGCTCAGAGCACAACCCGAGGGCCATCACAAAGGACAGGAGGACGAACCCGTGACAGCCACTTTCACATGATGCCAGCCTGGACCCCGAAGCCTATGGGTGGAAAGGAGGCAGGGGTGCATACGCTGGGCTTCAAGGTGAGCTCCTTCTGCTGCAGCCTGAGCCTGGAAGGTGGAGAGAATGTGTTAGATGTGGGGACACTCCAAGTCTAGCAGAGGCCTGGTCTCACCCAGACACACTGGCACACACTGCCATGCCACACCAGGGTCACTCTCCCTCCCAGGAGCATGCAGCATGTGCCAGGAGTGTGCCAACTGAGAAATGACGCCCAGGGGCCAGGAAGTGGCTGGAAGCAGGGCATGTGCCGGGTATCACAAGCCCTGACCTGGCTCCCCAGCACACAAGCTCCCCAATCCCACGCACCACCAGTGTGACCCTAGTGGGCCCTGAGCTCCTCTAGGTATGGCCCTTATTTAAAAATAACACTGGGGGGGGGGGGGGGTAGAGGAGGACCCTGAGCAATAGCATAGCAGGTAGGGCGTTTGCCTTGCACACAACCGACCCGAGTTCAATCCCTGGCATCCCATATAGTCCCCCAAGCACCGCCAGGAGTAATTTCTGAGTGCAGAGCCAGGAGTAACCCCTGAGCATTGCTGGGAGTGACCCAAAAAGAAAAAAAAATGATGGGGAGGGATACTGGGAACATTGTTGGTGGAGAATGGGCACGGAGGGGTACTGGATCATTGTATGACTGAAACGTGTTCTCGAAAGTTTGTAAGTCTGTAACTGTATCTTAGGGTGATTCATTTTTTTTAAAAAATCAATAAAAATAAATAGATGTTGTAGTGGAGGGGGGCTAAAAGATAATCCTGGGGCACGCAGATATGCCCTTCTTGGATCTGGGGTCTTTGCCGTGTGATTTAGTTCGGGATTTTGAAAAGCAGCGCTTCTCTGGGGTCACCAGAGACTAGGAAGGGGCCCCAGCCCAGAAATGCGGGTGGTGGGCAGCACCTGGCATACCTGGGGCCACGCCTGTCCCCAGAGCTCACAGACCGGTCCCCAGGGACTCCCTCCCAGCCTCTCAGGGCCCTGTGAGCCCTGGTACAAGGGGTCAGGTTTGGAAGCTGTCCCTACCAGGGGAGGCCACATTCAGTCATGTCAGAAGGCAGGTCCAGAATATTCTCCAGATTCTGAAACGAAGAGATAGAACAGCGGGTCTGGCCCTTGCTTTGCACCTGGTCCACTCAGGTGAGACAAAAAAATTTTTAAATTAATTAATTTAATAAATAAATTTAAACATGGGGCCGGAGCGATAGCACAGCAGGGAGGGCATTAGCCTTGCACGCGGCCAACCCAGTTCGATTCCCAGCACCCCATGTGGTCTCCCAAGTTCCGCCAGGAGTAATTCCTGAGTCCAGAGCCAGGAGTAACCCATGATCATCGCCCAGTGTGACCTAAAAAAGCAAAAAATAAATAAATTTAAACATTAAAAAGGCAAAGGTGGCAGAAAACACTCTGGTACAGAGTGGTGTTGGAACATCGTATGCATGGGAGCCCATCATGAACAGTCTAGTAAATCAAGAGTCCTCAGATGAAACCTTAAAATTCAAAAACAAATAACATTAACTGGGAAGTCATTCCGGATCCCGGGATTCTGATGTCCTGATAGCTAGAACAAAGCCATAGAGGTCAGCTCTTAACCAGAGCTGACCAACAGGGGGTGGGGAGGTGGGGGAAAGCTTCTGAAAAAGGGGTGGAGCCGAGGCTGGGACATACTAGGTGAGGGGAAGTTCTGCGCCCCAGCATCTGCAATTTCCCCTGATAAATAGGTGCAAGATGGCTGATTCCCAACTACCAAGCCACATCCCCGGTGGGAAATCAAGGGAGAGTGCACAATGGCAACGCGTGATGGAGCATTTCTCCTGGATGGCAAGTAATCCAACTGGGGAACTCTAGAACGTGAATTTGGGTTCTACTTTTTTTTTTTATTTAAATATAGTCAGTTCAATCACAAGAAGCGTGTGTGCGTGTATAATAAATGTGTGTGTATATATATATAATTTAAAAACAATTCAATTAAAAACAATTTAAATATATAATTTAAAAACAACGGCAGCATTTTCCCGCTAGCTCCAAACTTCCCGGCGACGGCGAGGCGAGCTGGCCCGGTTCGGCCCGGCAGGCCCAGCACAGCTGCTTTGCAGCCCGCAGCGGGGCCAGAAGCCGCTGGGGTCCCGGGCGGAGCAGCAGCGAGGCCCGGGAAATGCAGCACAGCCTACATGCACCCGGCGGCCGCTTTCCGCCAACAGTAGTCGTGGCCGAGTGGTTAAGGCGATGGACTAGAAATCCATTGGGGTCTCCCCGCGCAGGTTCGAATCCTGCCGACTACGGGAAGGCAATCTTTTTTTTCTTTTTTCCCCTGCTCTTGCACTCCACGCCTTTTCCCCTTCTCTGGAAGCCTCTGCGCTCCTGCGCCCGCCGCCTGGGAGCCGGGTGGGGGGCGAGCCCCGGGGACCGACCCCCAGGGGACCCGCGGGCTGCGAGCGTGCAGGGCTGCGGGAACGGGGGTGCGACCGGGATTAAAGTCGGGCCCAGGAGCAGAGGACGCGGGATTCGTCTCGACTCGGGTCGGGGAGGGCGGACGGGCAGCGCGCGCAGCCGCAGCCGGACCGGCCAGTCCCCACCTCGGCCCCCGCGGGCAGCCGGGACTCCCCGGGGACTCGCGCGCGGCCCCGCGGGCTGGGAGCGCTGTGCGCAAGCGCAGGGCGGCCGGGACGGGGCGGGGCGGGGGCGTGGTCTTGGAGAGGGGCGGGGCATATGGGGCGAAGGGCGGGGCGTGTGGGGCGTGGTCTGGGCGAGGGGCGGGGCGTATGGGGAGTGTGGGGCGTGGTCGGAGCGAGGGACGGGTCTGTGGGGCGTGGTCTGGGCGAGGGGCGGGGCGTGTGGGGAGTGTGGGGCGTGGTCGGGGCGAGGGACGGAGCGTGTCGGGCGTGGTCTGGGCGAGGGGCGGGGCGTGTGGGGCGTGGGCGGGGCGAGGGGCGTGGCAGAACGGCGGGAGGGGCGTGGCGTCCCTGGAGGGGGCGGGGACGCGCCTGCGCACGCGCGAGGGCCCGCGCGTTGCCCCGGGTAACCGGGGGCGCCCGCGGGGCGGGGACGTGCCGGTTCGAGATGGCGCAGGACCTGGACGAGCTGCTGGACGAGGTCGAGTCCAAGTTCTGCCGGGCCGAACCGCCGAAATCGGGCTCGGCCGAGCGGCCCACGGGCAGCGGCGCCGACGGCCGGGACCGGAAGCGGGCCGAGACCAAGCCGGAGACCAGGTTCGCGGCGGGTCGGGCGGCCGGGACCCCCCACCCCGCCCCCGACCCCGGCCCCCGGCAGGCCCGGACGCGTCTCCCACTCCCCGGGGTGGGGCGAGGGGTCCGGGGCCCAGAGCTGCCTTTCCGGCCCGCCTTCTGCGTTGCGCTCGTCAGATAACGGGACGGGGGCCTCGACCCCTGCAGCCCCCCAGCGCGCCCCCCAGGGGCCCGGGCTCTGCTGGCCAGGCGGGCGTCTGCAGCGGCCGATTGGGTTGGCTGGGGCGTGGGCGTCGCGATGGGCCCCGAAGCGTCCCGAGGCCTCTGCCCACCCGGCCGGGCCAGACTCACCCCGAATTTCCCGAGGATTGAAAAGATCCGCTCAGGGATAGCACAGCGGGGAGGGCGTTTGCCTTGCACGCGGCCGACCCGGGTTCGATCCCCAGCATCCCATATGGTCCCCTGAGCACCGCCAGGAGTGATTCCTGAGTGCAGAGCCAGGAGTAACCCCTGAGCATCGCCGGGTGTGACCCAAAAAGCAAAAATAAAAAGAACATCCCAGGGGCTGGAGCGATAGCACAGCAGGTAGGGCGTTTGCCTTGCACGCAGCTGACCTGGGTTCGATTCCCAGCACCCCATAGGGTCCCCTGAGCACCGCCAGGGGTAATTTCTGAGTGCAGAGCCAGGAGTAACCCCTGTGCATCGCTGGGTGTGACCCAAAAAGAAAAAAAAAAGTGGTCCCTAAAACTCAAAATAATAAAAGTATTCCTCCCTCCCCCCCCCCCAAAAAAAGAGAAAGTCCTCCCATTAAAGATGGTATAACAGGACTTAAGAAAAAGTCTTGGGGCTGGAGAGATAGCACAGCGGGTAGGGCGTTTGCCTTGCACTCAGCTGACCCGGGTTCGATTCCCAGCATCCCATTTGGTCCCCTGAGCACCGCTAGGAGTAACTCCTGAGTGCAGAGCCAGCCTCTGCATTGCCAGGTGTGACCCAAAAAGAAAAAAAAATTAAAATAAAATAAAAAGATTCACTGCCAGCACATGCATCATTCTTGGAGAGCGACACAGAGAGAGCAGAGCTGTGCCCCCTCCAGCCCCTTGCTTCTTTCCTGCCTCTCTGCGACCCCGCGTCCACCCTCCCAGACTGCCCGTACCCAGCCCACCTTTATTCGAATCGCTGAGTGCCAGAGAGATGGGAGACAGCAGGTAGGGCGATTGCCTTGCGCGGGGCCCACTAGAGTTTTTGATCCCAGCACCCCAGATGATTCCGCGAGCACCACCAGGAGTAATTTCTGAGTGCAGAGCCAGGAGTAACCCCTGAGCATCATCAGGTCTGGCCCCAAAACAAAACCCCTAATACCAGCTACAGGGCCTGTCTTGAATAATGTGTCAGACGTGAGCATGTGGCCAGGAGTGGAGGTTGATATCTGGGAGTTAGAAGCACATGTATTTTTTATTTAGATTGAAAGTTTATGGACAGACCATGCTTGCTGTTTCTAGTGGCATCCCCCAGATCTCTTGTAAGAGTTAAAATAACTGAAATTGTCTTTCTACACAATAATTCCACCTGTTTTCTGTAGCTAAGTGAGGTAAATGCTACTGTTACCCGGTTCCACTCGCCAAACCAAAACTGAGCAAACTAGTCACTTGTCCAAGCTCATATTTCCAAGTGTGCCAATACATTGTAGATCTGGGTTTAAACCTCGGTACCACTTATCTTGCATGTGTGATGCCCAGGGTTCAGTCCCCAGCACTCTATGTCTTTTTTTTTTTTTTTCAAGAATTTGCCTTTTATGGGGCTGGAGAGAGACTATAGCGAGTAGGGTCCTTATCTTGCATGCAAGCCAAGAGTAATTTCTCTGTGCAGAGCCAGAAACTATCCCTGAGTATTGCCAAGTGTAGCCCCCCCCCAAAAAAAAAATAGAAAAAAGTATGTTTGGTTGTTTGGATTTTTTTTTTGTACCTTAAAGATAATTTTCTTATTGCAGAATTATTTACAGTAACTAAAATATGGCAGCAGTGTCATCAAGCAGTTAGCTAAAGGTATGATACATTTATACCGTGAAATATTTTCCACCTATAAAAAGATTAAACTTTGCCACTCATAGCAAGATAGAAGAAGCCCAAAGGAATTCAGTAAATCAGGGACCAACCCGGGTTCGAGCACCAGCAGACGTCCCGTATGGTCTCCTGAGTCCCACCAGGAGTTATTCCTGAGTGCAGAGCCAGAAGTAACCCCTGAGCATCACTGGGTGTAGCTCAAAAACAAACAAAATAATAATAATAATAATAATAATAATAATACCCCACACACACAGTGCTCAAAAGAATAAATGTCCAGAGATGAATTTAAAAACATCCCTGCAGGACAGAACAGAGACACCTACCAAAAGTCTCGGCCTGCAGAGAAGCAGCTTCTGAATCTGCTTCTCATTCTTCAAAGACTGGGGGGTTGAGGAGGAGTGAACTGTGTCATGGCAGCTCCTGGGAGTGGGACAGGTTTTCCCTTTTTTGTTTTTTCCAGGAATAGTCAGTTTTAATATTAGGTCTGAACATTGGAAAAGTGCATATATACAATAAGAAAGATCCTTAAGATAACAAAATTTGATGTTGAGGCTTTTATAAAAACTCAGCCAAATCAGATAAAAATGCTTTTGAAATAAAACATAGCAATAGCACTAAATATATTGTAAAAATTAAAAAAAAGATAAAAATTCTATACCTCAAAATCATTTCTATATCTTTATAGCAAATTTATGAAGATTGTTATACTAATCTGGGCAGAGTCTGGCAAACTCCCCGTGGCGTACCCAATATGCCAAATACCAGTAGCAATGGTGGGTCTCATTCTCCTAAAGAGCCTTGAATATAATCTCAGGGCTAGGATGAAGGAGACGTTACTGGGGCCTGCTCGAGGCAATCGACGAATAACAGGATGGTCGTGATTCGTTATACTAATATGCTATATTACTAGAGTCCTTTTATAAGTATTTGTTTTCTAGTGGGCTCCAAGTCGAATTTTTCTAGCATACATTTATTTCCATTGACCACATAGTCCATAGAATATTCTGTCATTTTGCAATCATCTCCTTCCCACATCATTGGAATAGTAGGTCTTGTCTTATTCTTCTGCTTAACATTTAAAATTCCAGGACACAGGTTTTAAAACTATAACAGCTTTGCTTTGCCGTATTGATTGCTCTGCTCTACTTTCACTTTTAGTGCCTGGGAATTTCACATATTTCTTTCAGTTATTTATTCAAAAATATTTTTAAAAATGTAAACAAAAACTTCTATGAATTTCAGAACAGAGGCATTTTCCAGAATATTTAGGAAGCTGTCTTGGTGAATGAGATTTTACAATAAGACAGGTTTTTTCTTGATGCAGCCGCTTCATTTGGGAAGTAGCACTTTTTTTTTTTGTTTTTCACTGACTATATAACCTTTGACTCCTCTAATAGAAAGTCTGTTTGTTTGTTTTTTGTTGTTGTTGTTTTATTTTGTATTTTCAGATCAACAGAGACATTTCAAAAAGAAGATGATCTTGACAGTCTGATTCACGAAATCTTTGAAGAGCCCGACTTTGGAAAGAAAACCTTTGTAAGTTACGTATTCTCAGGGGGCAGGAATTCTCTCAGATGCCTAAGAATTGTCTGGAACTGAACGCATGCGTATCTAGAGTCCTTTGAACTCTGACACATAATATTCTAAGAAACCGTTCCGCTTAAGAGTCGTAAAGAAATAAAACGTTAGAAACTTTCAGCATGTGTTGTCATTTCTCAGCAGGAAGTTGGACAAGCTGGGAGAACGAATGGCAGCTCGAGATGAAGTTATTGCTAGTATTTATTCGTAGACATAAACTTGTCCAAGAAAACCAGACACACCGTTTCCATTACAGGAATGTGTGCAGTAGCTCAGACACAGTGCTCTTGCTGTCTGCTTACGAGCTGATGAAATAACTTGGCACCCTTCGATTTTTTGATGCCTGTATCGCCAAATCAGCCATACAGAAAGCTCACGAAGTAGCGTTCAATTTTACTTTTTGTTTTGGGCCACACTCAGCAGTGCTCAGGGCCTGCTCTCTGCACGAGAATCACTCCTGATGGTGCTCAGGGGACCCTGTGTGTGCAAGGCCAGAGAACTCGGCCTGTACTGTTACTCTGGCCTCGTAATACTTCACCACGTACATACCACCCATGGTAAATGTCTCATCACTTTGCAATATTTGCTTCTCTGGACTTTTTTTTTTAAGAAATAAAAATTAGAGGCTGGGAGCTAGAATGATAGCACAATGGGTAGGGCGTTTGCCTTGCATGCGGCCGACCCGGGTTCGATTCCCAGCATCCCATATGGTCCCCTGAGCACGGCCAGGAGTAATTCCTGAGTGCAGAGCCAGGAGGAACCCCTGTGCATCGCCAGGTATGACCCAAAAAGCAAAAAAAAAAAAAAGTTAGAGGCTGGAGCAATAGCACAGTGGGTAGGACGATTGCCTTGCACACGGCCAACTCAGGTTCAATTCCCAGCATCCCATATGGTCCCCCGAGCACCGCCAGGTGTAATACCTGAGTGCCTGAATCAGGAGTAACCCCTGTGCATCGCTGGGTGTGACCCAAAAAGCAAAAAAAAGAAAAAGAAATAAAAATTAGATGGGGCCAGAGAAAGAGTTCAGGGGTTAAGGCACTTGCGTTGCATGTCATTGACCCTGGTTCAGTCCCTGCTCCATAAATGGCCCCTGGGAACTCCCAATTATGACTCAGAAACCCAAAAGGTAAACTGAGCCTCTTAAGAATTCTTCAAGGGGCTGGAGCAATAGCACACCGGTTAGGGCGTTTGCCTTTCGTGCGGCCCACCCGGGTTCGATTCCCAGCATCCCATATGGTCCCCTGAGCACCGCCAGGGGTAGTGCAGAGCCAGGAGCAACCCCTGTGAATCGCCAGGTGGATCCAAAAAAAAAAAAAAATTCTTCAAATCCTGCTCTGTCCCCTTCCTCCCCAGCAGTGTCTGGGACCCTCCCACACACCTCACGCCCACCTGCTCCACCGGAGGCGTTTCCTCAGGGAGCAGAGAGGGAGGAGAGTTCCTATCAGCATCAGCGCAGGCCAGCACTTCCCATAAAGGCCATGTCACTTGTCTCAACATCAGAGAGTGGACGGAGTGTGGAGGAGAGTGTGCAGACTTCTGCTTTCGCCTGTTTGGCAGGTGCCAAACAAAATTTGTTAGACTTGAAGAGACCAAATAGGAGTCTGAGATCCAGGGCCAGAGCGACGGTACGTGCGTTGTGTGTGGCCCACCCCGGTTCTATATCCAGAGGGCCCCCTGAGCCCCTGCAGGAGTAATCCCGGAGCTCTGAGCACCCCTAGGTACGCCCCAAAAACCAAAGGGGGAGGGAAATAATTTGGAAGACAAGGGCCACCAAAAAAAAAAAATAAATCTAAGAAAAATAATGCCTAGTCATTTACTTATTTATTTTGGAGGGAGTCTGTCTGTTCTCAGAAAGCCAGGGCCAGAGGTGGGCCCAGTGGCCGGTGATGCTGAGGGAGGTCAGGGGGGATAAACTCAGGGCTTTGCACGTGTTGTCTGTCTCCCCTGAGAGGGTTTTCCTTGAAAGGAGAAAGATTAAAACCGGGCAGAAACTTTCAAGGCATTTAATCCTATCCATATTTCTATCAACAAAACGGAAAATTTAGCAGCTGGAAGTTTCTCTCAGTTCAACATCTGCCACCAGTCGGGGGCCAGTTCCATAGCTAGAGTCCAGCTAAGCTAGACCAGACACAGGGCAGGCGAAGGGATCAGGAGCCCTGAACTCACGGCTCCTCTGGGTCCACTCTGCTCCTTGACTCCCCGTGGTGTCTGCGCAGGACGCATTCTCTCCTCAAGGCGTACTGAAGGAGGGGACATACTTCTCCGCTTTGCCATTTACGATACACCAATGGGCCAGCAGCGGTTCGGTGGCCCTTTGTGAGCGTGGCATGCCGGAAGCCCAGACCCAGGGCCCAACACCACGTACCCACCCAGACAGCGGGGAACAGTCCCGAAGCCACACTGAGGGTGGCCCAGAGCTGTGCTTCTTCTAAGTACAGAGCTCTGGGTTCCCCTGAGGAAGCCGCTTTGTAGGCCCAGGCCTGTCCCCAGCCCTCCTGTCCTGCACTGGGATCCCAGGGTGTCTCCCACCCCGGCAAGGCCAGACAAGACAGCCGCTTCCTCGGGGGCAGCCCAGCTGTTAGGGAAACCCCCGACAAAAGGCTCCATGCATGGGATTGCTTTTTTGATGCACCCAGAGTTCTAACAGAGAAAGGAGCGAAAGAAAAAGTGAGATGAAGTTTTTTTTTTTTTTTTTTTTTTTTTTTGCTTTTTGGGTCACACCCGGCGATGCTCAGGGGTTCCTCCTGGCTCATGCACTCAGGAATTGCTCCTGGCGGTGCTCGGGGGACCATATGGGATGCTGGGAATCGAACCCGTGTCGGGCATGTTGGCTGCGTGCAAAGCAAACGCCCTACCCGCTGTGCTATCGCTCCAGCCCCTGAGATGAAGTTTTAAATCTCCCCACCTGGAAGGTGTGATGGAGGCTCGCCTGTTCACTCACACCCTCTCCGTGCCAGTGGTCCCAGGAGGTGGCTGGGGGTGTGCCGTGGGTAACGTCCCCGTTAACGCCTTCGAACACTTGACGCGCCTGGCTCTTTGGAGGCCTGTTGGTCCGTGCCGTCCATCGATCAAAGTGATTGATCCTGGGATTAGCCAGCGCTGGGCTCGGCAGTGTGTGACTCAGATGAGTTGCCGTTTCCAGCCTTTCCCAGTGGGTCTGAGGGGTTTTCCAATCCCTGCATTGTTTTCCAGGATGACATCTTTTTTTTTTTTTTTTTGGCGTCACACCTGGCGATGCACAGGGGGTTACTCCTGGCTCTGCACTCAGGAGTTACTCCTGGCGGTGCTCGGGGGACCCTATGGGATGCTGGGAACCGAACCCGGGTCTGCCGCGTGCAAGGCAAACGCCCTCCCCGCTGTGCGATCGCTCCAGCCCCTCCAGGATGACATCTTAAACCACAAAGCTTTCCTACCCAGTCATGGGCCCGCATCGCCGGAAGCGTTAGAAAGGCCTCGTTGTGTCTCAGCATGCTGATGGCGGTCCATCCACCCTGGACCGAGAGCACGCTCGTTTGCAAACTCCTCGGAGAGGTCCCACTTCCTCAAAACCTGTATGAGGGTTTTTTTTTTTTTTTTCAGAAACTGGAAAATGATACCATTTTTGTTTTTTTTAGGGCACTGGTGGAGGGATGGGTATTTGATCATTGTATAATTGAAACCCAAGCACAAAAATTTGTAAGTCTACAACTGTACCTCATGGTGTGTCACTAATAAAAATTAAAAAAAAAAAAAGCTAACTCAGAAAAACCCTTGCTGCTTTTCCTGGTACAGTTCTCCAAATATGACCGTTGGCCTTTCATTGTTAACAGAAACTGAAGTCGAAATGTTCAGGTCACACAGCTGTCCCGGACCCCGTCCAAGGCCTCAGTAAACGGTAAGTGCAGTTGCCTGAGTGGGCCCCACACTCGGCTGTGCAGAAGTTGGGAAGTCGGTCACCCTTTAAACCCCAGGCCCTGCCCTCCCGTGTACAGGCACCAGAGTGGCAGGTGGTCACTTCCATGAGTGGTGTTCAGCCCTATGGGCAAATGACCGTGGGCCGTTTCTCAGAAGGAATGTTCTGGTAGACCCTCGCAGTCCCCTTTGTCCCTGCATGCAGTGGCAGGCGCGTTTCTCTGAGGCTGTTTGGACCCCCGTGTCCCTGGATTAGGGCACTGGTGGAGGGATGGGTATTTGATCATTGTATAATTGAAACCCAAGCACGAATATGTGTAAGTCTACAACTGTACCTCATGATGCCTCACTAATAAAAGAGAGGTCACGGTCCAGTCCAGCAGGGCCCCTCAGCTGACCCCCACTCTGAAGCTACGGCCGTGCCCAGGAAAACACCCGGAGCCAAAGAACGCAGACTCAAGCAGCCAACTAACTAACGCTTCTTCCTCTGCTGCAGCTGCAGCCCCGTGTACCTGGGCGGCTCGGGGTCGCCACGCGGGATCGGAACCAGCACCTCCCCCAGGTAAGACCTTTTCCAGATCCTTCCCCTGCCGGGAGATGAAGCTTGAGTTCTGGATACAGCTCCAGTCTGGGAGTAAGATCGTAAGGTCACCGTTCAGGGCTTCCACGAACTTGGAAGGAGAATGCAGGGTTCGGGAGGCGTTTTGTAGACTCAGCAAGTGGACATGAGACAGGCCTTGTCTCAAGCCCAGGAAAACCTCACTCCTCTGTTTTTTTTTTTCTTTTTGGTTCACACCCGGCGATGCTCAGGGGTTACTCCTGGCTCTGCACTCAGGAATCACTCCTGGCGGTGCTCAGGGGACCATATGGGATGCTGGGAATCGAACCCAGGTTGGCCGCGTGCAAGGCAAACGCCCTACCCACTGCGCTATCACCCCAGCCCCCTCTGTTTGTTTTCTAAGCTACTTGCAACACTGGATTATTCCTGAGACTGGCGTTATTATGGTCTGATAGAGTGAATTGTAGTGGGATGATTTCTTAGCTATAGGTTCTTTTTTTTTTTTTTTTTTTTTTTTTTTTGCTTTTTCTCAAAGGACAGTTTTTGTAGGCAGATGTGGTGGTGTGACAGGATTTGAATAAACTGCTAAATTTTAAATTAAAGAGCTGCAAGTAACCGTGACGGTTGAGATTTGACACATACAGAACGTCAGGAGATTCCGAATCATAATTCCCACAACAGCAATAATTCAGCCAGATTGCACATATGTATTAAGGCATTAAAGTTAACACTCTTCTGTCATATAATAAACCACATATGCCTAAGAAGGCAAGTGAGAACAGTGCTGGGAACTGTCATTCTTCATCTTCTGCGTTGTCCATTCAGGATCCAAATGCATCAATGTAGTTGTGTTGGATTTCGTATGTATAAATACATCTTCATACATTGCTAATGGTCTTCAAAGAGAGCATGGAATTGCTTATCTATAAAACCTAGATAGATTTTTCTTTTTTTTTTTTTTTTTTTTGCTTTTTGGGTCACACCTAGCGATGCACAGGGGTTACTTCTGACTCTGCAACTCAGGAATTACTCCTGGCGGCGCTCAGGGGACCATATGGGATGCTGGGAATCGAACCCGGGTCAGCCGCGTGCAAGGCAAGCACCCTACCCGCTGTACTATCTCTCCAGCCCAAACCTAGATAGATTTTAAATGGCTATTGTTATGATTGGCAGTATATTTAGAACTATAATACATTTATTCTCAAAGTAACTTTCAGGCCCAAAAGTCTTTGCAATTTTGAACTTAACGTCTGAAATTTTAGAGGGAGATAAAGGGGTGAAAATCTAATGTGGGTTTCGTATTCTTTTTTGATCACAGGAGCATGAGATGTTTAAACAAATAAAAACAAAACTGAGAACTATACAAAGAGAAGGATGACAATCCCTTTCCTGCCCTTCTGTCCTCAAACCCTGGCCCCCCCCCCAGTTAGAACTCTCAAGTCTGTTTATGTTTGTCACAGGCTTATACACACCCAGCCAAGAATTTTTGTTTATTTTATACAAAAGCAGGAGCCTGGGGCTGGAGCGATAGCACAGCGGGGAGGGCGTTTGCTTTGCACGCAGCCAACATGACCGACCCGGGTTCGATTCCCAGCATCCCATATGGTCCCCCGAGCACCGCCAGGGGCAATTCCTGAGTGCATGAGCCAGGAGTAACCCTGAGCATCGCCGGGTGTGACCCAAAAAGCAAAAAAAAAAAAAAATCAGGAGCCTGGTCTCCAGGTACTGGGCCGCTGTTTCAGGCATCTCTCCCGGTCCCGGGTAAACTGACTGTTCTCTCTCTCGGCTGCCTCGGTTGCGTAGTGGGAATCGGGCGCGTGGTGTTTAGTCTCACCCTTTCCCCTTCCCGCGGCTTCGCAGTCCAAATCCTGGCGCCGGAGAAGCCGGTCACGCGTTGCTTCTCTTTCTCTTGTTGGACTCTCACTCCTGCCCACTGATGCGTCTGACCACGGGGCAAAGATGGTCCTTGCTTCACCTAGTGTCTGACCCCTGGGTGCTCACCGCCCACGCGTGTTCCTCTCCGGGGCACTCACACCTGCTTGTCCTTCTCCGCACAGAGCGTGCGACCACCTGCGCTGCGTGGCCTGTGATTTCCGGGTCGCCAGCTTCGACGACTACGCCTGGGACCGGACCTGTGATTACCTGTTCTTCAGGTAGGGCGCCACCACCCCCTCAGCGGGCTGGGCCTTTCTCCCCCTGCCTCCTCCTCACTCTCTCCACCATGCATGTCGCCTGTGCCGGGGTCCCCTTCCCCAAGAAAGGGAGGGGTGGGGGGAGGGAGGCCACTACCCGCAGCCCCTCCCACTCTCCCTGACACCGCGAGGGGGCGACAGCCAGCACTGAGCCAGGAGTAGCACCCAGGCTGCCAGGTGTGGCCCCAAAGCCCCCCAGAAAAAGTTCTGGGCCAGGAGGTGGCCTGGAGCTGCGGGTCCAGAGAGGTGCAAGGGCCTGGGGGCTGGCCAGTGTGGCAGGAGCGGTCGCCAGGGCGGGGGGGGGGGGCCGCAGGTACTGGAACCCACTCAATTCAGTGGCTTCTGGCCCAGGATGGTAAAACCCATGCCGGTGTTTCACCTCGTCTTGTAGGTGAGGGCAGTTCCCGCTTTGTAATCTCGGTTGGACAAGTTCTAGAGCTTTCTTCTTTTAAAAAAAAAATAATAAACTACTTTATTTAAGCACCATGGTTTACAGGGTTGTTCACAGTGCAGTTGTGAGGGGCTTTCAATGTTCCAACACCAACCCCAGCTCCAGAGTGACCTTCCCTCCCCCACTGTCCCCCTTTTCCAATCACCCCCAAGCCTGCCCCCTTAGCAGGTAACAGTAATTGATTTCATATTGCTTGTTGGTCTGGAGCGATAGCACAGCAGGTAGGGCATTTGCCTTGCATGCAGCTGACCTGGCCGACCCGAGTTTGATTCCTCCGCCCCTCTCGGAGAGCCCGGCAAGCTACCGAGAGGATCTCGCCCGCACGGCAGAGCCTGGCAAGCTCCCCGTGATGTGTTTGATATGCCAGACACAGTAACAACAAAGTCTCACAATGGAGACGTTACTGGGCCCGCTCGAGCAAATCGATGAACAACGGGACGACCGTGCTACAGGGCTACAGTGCTTGTTGCAACTACTTGGCTAAAGGAGTTATCAGAAATGCTTCAGTAAAAGGAAATCTGTGAAAATTGTCCTATTCCCCCCCCGCCCCCCGCCTCTTTCCATCCTTGTGTTTATCACTAGTTGAACCTTCTGTGTTACTGTGTGTTGAGTGGCGTTGGCGTCTGTGTGGTTGGCATCTGTGTGGCTTTCCCATCTAACCTGGTGTGTGCCTGCAGGGAGTTAAGACTTCGGATCTGTGGGATGGGGGAAGGCTGCCCGCCCCCACTCCAGGGAGACCCCCAGAGTCCTCGGCCAGGCCAGGGGGTACCTGACCTGTCTCGCACTTTGGTGTCTGTGCAGGAGCGATGGTGAAGCCGTGAGGTTGGGCCGTTGGCGAGGCTGCCGGGCTTCTGCGGGGAGGGGACTCAGCTGCCCCCCCACCCTCCCACCCCCGCGCCCGAGGGTGCCCCAGAGTGTTCAGCCAGGGAGGACCCGGGTCATTCTGATAACTCCTGTAGCCGTGAATCTCAGCAGCTTTAAAAGAAGTTCTGCGCCCGCTTCGCCCACCCTGCCGTGGCCACGTGCCTGCCACATGCCCCCGGGCAGCATTGCCATTCCCCCCCTCTGAACCACGCACGTCTCCCCAAGATCTCGTCGAGTCCGGCCAGGCGGCGAGTGTCCAGGCTGTCGAAAGAGCCGGCAGCTGAAGCAAGGCTGTTTCCCTGCGTGTTGCCGTTTGGCTTGAACCTGACCGACACATTTCATTTTGTGCAAGATTTTTTCCCCCTTCCTCCCTTCCCCAGCAAAAGTCTTCCGTGACTTTTGCAGGTCAGGATCTGAACTCAGACAGTGCACCTAGAAACTCGGATGTTTTACTCCACTCGAACCTTCTAGATTCACTGCCTTTGGTGTGTGGGGGGGGGGAGGAGCCGGAGGCCGCGCCCAGTGGCCAGCAGAGGGCCACCACCCCCTGCTGTCCCTCAGACAAATAACTAGCACTCACTCTTGCTCACTTTCGGGCGGACTCCTTCCTCTGCTCAGTCATCAGCATGGGCTACTGTCATGACTTCAGAGTCTGACCACCGGGGCATAACTAATCATTTCTGATCAGACGGAACTTTAATAACCGTCTGATCAGAATAGCCCTGTGTCCCCAGGTTCCTGCCCTGTTAAGACAGAGGTTGTGGTTGTGATGTCACTGACATCCGTTTCAGGATGAATGTTTGTTTACTTTGTTGCTGATGATTGACTGGTCGAGGCCGTCGAAATCTTTGGGCGCTCACCACATCGAAGCCAGAGGCGCTGTCCTTCAGGGATGCCTGCCCCGAGCCCTGTCGCAGTCATTTGGCCTCACTGGCCGCGCCTCGCCCGCGCCCTCCCTTTGGCATAACTGGTTTCAAGACAGGGACTGCGCCAGCATGGACAGAAGGTGCTTGGCCGACTCCCTCGGCAGCCCTGGACCTCCACGCGCTCTGGACAGTGGTGCAGGCCCAGGGTCGGCCTGGGTTCTGCATTCAAAGCTCTGTTGTCGGGGCCGGAGCGATAGCACAGCGGGGAGGGCGTTTGCCTTGCACACAGCCAACCCGGGTTCGATTCCCAGCATCCCACACGGTCCCCTGAGCACCGCCAGGCAAAATTCCTGAGTGCACAGCCAGGAGGAACCCCTGAGCATCGCCGGGTGTGAGCATAATATAAAAGCAATAAATAAAACTCTGTTGTCCTGGGCCTGGAGAGAGGACAGGGGGCCGGGCACCGGCCCCTCACGGCTCACCCGCATTCAGCCCCCAGCACCCCCATCGACCCCTGAGCCCTGTGGGTCATGATCCCTGAATGCAGACACACACATTTCTGTCCTCCGGGGCCAGGGTGTGACCCAGCAGCACAGCACGGGCCCCCACAGCCCCCCAAAGTACCCAGACAGCGCAGAGCCGCTGCTCTGTCCGCTGGCTGGGCGGCAGGAGGTGGGCGGGCGGGCGGGCAGCACCTTCTTCGGCACCTTCCTCCCCAGGAACAACATGCCCGACGCCCAGAAGCTCGCAGGCAAGCTGGTGCGCAAGCCGGGGAGCCGCGCCTACGCCTGCCAGTGCCGCTGGAGGAGCGTGGACGCGCCCACCGCCCTGCACAGCGACCCCGAGCTCCGCTGGGTCTGCGGGAAACACTGAGCCCGCCCACTCTCTCCTTGGGCTCTCGCACTCCCACGGTGCCAACGCTCTGTGTGGGCCCCAGCCCGGCAACGCTGCCCACGGCATCACGAGAGGACACGGCGGCTGGCTGCGGGCCCAGGGCACAAGCACCCCGTCTCGGGCAGGGTGGGGGAGAGAGAGAGGGTCCAGTGAGCGTGCGGACGCCCCCTCCAGCCCCCTGTTCCTTGACACTGTGAGGGGGTTATGCGTCGTCTGCATTCACAAAGGTCTCCGAAGGTGGGTCTGAAACTGCCCGGCCTCATCCCACCGCGGGGGTCACAGCGGCTCCTCCTCCTCCTCCACCTCTTCTCCTCCTCTTCCTCCTCCTCCTCCTCCTCCCCCTCCCCCTCTTGCTCCGGTAGCACAAGTGCCACTTGCTCTTCTCGCTGACACCATTCACGTCGTCAGCCTTGTCTTAAGGCACTTTCAAGGGAAGCGCAGAGACCCAGACCAGTCGGGAAGGGCTGATCCCAACCTGCTCCGGCCTTTCTCCCACCGGGAACCTCACGGGGGGTCTCCAGGCAGCCTGTGCTCCTGCGGGAGACCTGTGTGGGTCCTCAGAGGCACCGGCGCCCCCCCCCCCAAAGCCAGAGGACACCTACCCCTGCCCTCCCACCCCCAAGCAGCACGTAGGGGCCCCGTATCTCCTCTCAGTCTGCCCACGCCCACCCCCATGTCCGGCCCCTGGTTCTGAAGTGTGTCCCCAGCACACGTCCAGCCAAAGCAGCAGCCCCCACCAGGCTCCCAGCCACGTCCCAGGCAAGGAAGTAGCCTCGAGAACCCTTCCTCTGCATCCAGCGGGCGTCGGAGCCGGTCAGCGGCTGGTGCCCCAGGTTTGTATTGAGAACATGTTTACAGGCCGGAGGGATGGGCCAGCGTGCTCCTGGCCCGCGCTGACCCCAGCTCCAGCCCCAGCTCCACAAAGGGCCCCCTGCGCCCCTCCGGGAGTGACCCCCCCCCCCCGAACAAAAGCAATATGTTTACAGGCCTCTGAATAAAAATGTTGGACTCGTCAATTCTCTCTGGGGATGAGTGTCTGAAATGAGGGGGACAGGTCGGACTCAACTTGGTGGCCCCCAGAAGTGGTGCCACAGGAAGAGCACAGTCGAAACCCACGGCACGTGGGGCCGCGACCCCTGTGCCTGTGTCGCGTTGGACCAGGCGCCTGCCCTCCTTGGCCTGGCCAGAGTGACTGAGCATCGCCCGGTGGGACCCAAAACCAGGAAGAGAAAATCCTTCCCCTGTGGTTCCTCGTGACCCTCCTGTCACTCGGGCCGCACCGTCTCTTCATCCCTCCAGCCCCTGGACGATGGAGCAGGCACCTCGTGCCGCAGTTTCCCCCTCTGGCAGGCCATGACGGTGTCTGGGAGTGCTCTCTGCTCATCTCGGAGCCGGCAGTGGACAGTGGGGTGCCGGGACCCCGCAGACTCCCCTCTTTGGACTCCTCCCCAAGCCCGCCTGCTTGACCCCCACCGCCCCAGGCCGTGCTCCGGGATGTCTCACGCCGACGTCCTGCTCTGCTGCGGCAGGCCCAGCCGGGAGGTTGCCGGGCAGCTCTGAGCCCGTCTTCCCACGCAAGCCCCACAGGGGACGCGAACGCACAGGTCACAGCTGAGCAGGCCCCGGGACTGCCACCGAGTCACACCCAGGGGACAGCCGGGAGGAAGGACGAGTAGGGAGCAACCCCAGGGCAGGTGCACGGCCTGACTTCCTGCTGGGCTGGGCGGGAGGGGGCGTTGGAGGGGTGCCGGCCCCTAGGGGCACCCCTGCACCAGGCCAGCGTTGAGTCTTGGCTCTGCTGGAAATGGGCCCCCACACCCACCCCCTGTCTTGGTCTTTCTGGAAAAGGGAGACCCCAACACTGTCCCCATCGCGGTGAGGGGGGACCTGCCGCCCCCTACCACCCTCTCCAACCACAGGGATCCTCACTTGCACCCCCAGGGGCCCCCCAGGATGAGCCTGGGGGTGCCCAGCCCTGGCCAATGGCACCATTCGAGACTCCAGGCCAGGGCGGGGGAACATCTCTGTGGTTGGAACTCCCCAAGTGACTGGACCCTCGTGGAGGGACCCTTAGAGCCGGTGGCAGGGGAGGGAGGGGGGTCCCCTCTGTCACCTTTCCGTGTGGCCTCACTGCCTCTGCAGACCCTGGGTGGGCCAGGTGTTCCCCAGGGCTCAGGCCCAGAAAGAGCTGGGACCCTCCCCCACCCCGCCCCCTTCCCACCCCCTCCACCTCTCTCCCTCCCCTCCTTTTCCTCCTCCTCCTCCTCCTCTGCTTCCAGGTGCTCCTGGCCGTCCCTCCGTCCCTCCAGGGCTGACTGCCCAGGCCACAGCTCTGCTGGCTGAGTCCCAGACCCGCTGTGGCTGGTCCTGGGCTCTCCTGACCCAACTTCTGTCCTAGGGCCTTGAAAATACATCGTAGGGGCCGGAGAGACAGTACATACATACGCACGGGCACCTGTATGCAGCTGACCTGCATGGCGTTCCCCACCCCCCATACGATCCCCCAAGCCGGCCAGGAGTGCTCTCGGACCCCAGAGCCAGAGTAAGCCCTCGGCACTGCCTGGTGTGGCCCCAAACAAACCCAGATCGGCCTGAAGTCAGAACCAAAATGTCCCGAGTCAGTTTTCCAGGGCTGAGGTCGGGGTCACGGGCTGCCTGCTCCCTCGGCTCGTGCCCCCGTTCCTGAAGTGTCCACACCCACTGCTGCCCCTTTGGAGAACGGGCATGCACTGGGGGCCGTGTGTGTGTGTGTGTGTGTGTGTGTGTGTGTGTGTCTGCGCACATGGGTGACTGAGCTCCTGGATTCCACATGGGTCCTGTGGAACTTCAGAGCCGTCACAGCAACTCAACTTACTCAACCTGACGTCCGCACTTGCACCCTCCCGGGCACTCAGGAGAGGGGGGTGCCACGAGGTCGGAGTGGGGGTGGGGCAAGGCCACAGAGGGTGCGAGTGGCAAAAACGCGGCCACGCGGCCCGGCCCCAAGCGTCACTGCGACTCGCTGGGTCTGCCTTTGATTGTGCTTTGGATCGCCGAGAGGCTTTTGGGGTGACTGGGTGAGGTGTCAGTGCGGGAGACCCTCCCAAGCAGGTGGCATGGAGAGTGGGGGGCGGCACCCCATAAAGCCTCTGGTGCCTGGGCAGGTGCCTGAGGAGGGGGTGGGGTGGCACCCAGGCTTGGAGGCACAGAGCAGGCAGGGTGCCACCTGCCCGGCCACTCGGAGCTACCCCACGGTGAGGAGGTTCAGAAAGCCTCCACAGAGCCAGCAGGCGAGCACGGGGCTCGGAGCCCAGAGCAGGGGGTGTCCGCAACCCCCCACGCTGCCCACTGACCACGCAGCTAACGAGCTGAGGGGCACAGCCAACCAAGCCAGCACCCCGAGCCACCACGGGGGGAGCTTCCTGGGTCCCCCACAGCCCCGGCAGCAGGGGAACAAACACATCAAAACAAGCATGTGTGTGTGAGTGTGTGTGAGAGTGGGAGTGTGTGGGAGTGCTTGTGTGTATGTATGGGTGTATGTGGGTGCATGTGCAGAGTCTCCTGCCCCGCGCCTGGCTGTCCTCACCAGGGCACCTTGGAGGGGAGCGGGTCGAGTTTTCCTCCGTGCCCCGACCAGGGCTCCGGCAGCCGAAGACCTCCAGAACCAGCCACCACCATGCTGAGACCACTCTCCACACGCACGAAGGTACCAGCAGAGGAACAAAGGCACGCGGGTCTCGGGGCTGAGATCTCCAAGCCTACTTGGATCGGGGCTGAGCATCCTCCACCCAGATCTTCCAAATTCCGGTAGGCAGGGGTCACACCCACCAACTGGCCCCCTGGCGCCGTGTAATCCCATCAACGGCCAAGACCCAGAGACTATAAAACCCAGCTCCCGGAAGCAACATCTTATCATCTCATTCCTACTTTGGACAACCTGGCAGGCTACCGAATGTAACCTGCCCACACAGCAGAGTCTGGCAAACTCCCCGTGGCGTACCCAATGTGCCAAATACCAGTAACAATGACGGGTCTCCTTCTCCTAACTCTGAAAGAGCCTTGAATATGGCACTTTTTAAAAAATCTCAGGGCTAGGACGAAGGAGACGTTACTGGGGCCTGCTCGAGGCAATCGACGAATAACAGGATGGTCGTGATCGTGATTGTGATTATGATGTGGGTGCATGTCGGGGGTATGTACATTTGTGAGTGTTACGTGTGAGTATATGAATGTATTATTACATATGGGAGGATGCGTGCACGTGTGTGTGGGAATGTATCGCTACGTGGGCGGGAATATATGTACGTGTGTGTGTGTGTGTGTGTGTGTGTGTGTGTGTGTGTGTGTGTGCATGCGAGTCCGAGCATGGCTGGCTGGGGTAGCACCAGGTAGCACGCATGTGTGGTGAGAGATACCCGTGTGGTTTCCATCACGGGTTCCACCACAGGCGCGAGTCCCCGGCCCCCGGGGCTGCCGTGGGCAAAAGGACAGGACAGAGCAGGCCCAGCCCGCAGAGTCCGCCGCAAGGGCGAGGCCCAGAGCCTTGGAGAGTTTGTTGTCCAAAATAATTATGGAATAATTATAGGTGAGGAGAGTGGAGAATGGCCGCTTGAAGTCATCCCTCAAACGCCTCTGCAAGATACCAGCCTGCGCTGCCCAGACCTCACAGGCACCGACGCGCCCTCTGGGCAGGCAGATCTCTGCAGCTCCCAGAAGCCCCGTGCCCTTGGGGTGATGCCGTCAGAAGGGCTGGTGGGTCCCTGGAGCACCCCTGCAGCCTCGCCCGCCCAGTGCATGTGACCCAGGCAGCCTGCAGGTGGGGCTGGCTTTCCCGGCACAAGCGCTGACCTGTCCAGTGTCCACGGAGGCCACCAGCCAAGCAGTGGCCTCCGACCCTCCCCCGTGTGTCCAGCCCCCAGCAGCACCCTGAGACCTGATGTCCCCACTCCCCACAGGACCCCCCTTCTGCAGCAGCGGACAGCCTCCCTGCACTGGGCCCC